AAACCAAAACACAAACCTGAACAAAAATAGGCAAAATGAAATGCTTTTGCCTGAATGGTAATTGGCCTCGGACTTTACAAAGAAAGAGTCTAAGAACTCTCCTATATACACTTTCTTTCAGAGTTAAACTTGTTTCGTAGATAAAATGGTTCCATTTGATATCCTGGGGAAAAATGTATAGACCTAAAAAAAGGTTATGTTTGTTAATCCAAATCTAACATGTGAGCAGTATTTGCTTTCCTCTTAAATTTTTCTTGTAATTTTTGTACCAATTATCTGTCAAAATCTTGTATGATTCTGTACGGTATGAGCTTGTGACTTACAGCCTGATAAATATGATCATTTACTCTTCTAAGTAAAGATTATATGTCTAAACCATTTTGTGGATCAAATTTGGCTAAATAGCTTTTTCCCCCATCACTATGGATTGAGTGCTGGGCCTTCTCATTGCAGTATATTCCTGAATGTGTTTAAATTTCTTTTGTTTTTAGACAGGATCTAAGTCACGATGTCACTACACTGTCTGAACTAGAATTGAATTTCCTACCCTTGGAACCTTTCAAAGTCTGGAATTACAGGGGTACTTAACTGCACACAGACTTTCCAAAGGCAAAACATTTATTTCAATCATCTGTCATTTACTGTCGTATATATCACTTGATTGATCAGCAGGATAGAAATAAAGCAAAAAATTGTATGTAAACAGCAAAGGATCCAATCACATACAGTTAAAAAGTTAAACATTCAAGAAAGAAAAGCCTGGCAAGTTGGCACACACCTATAATCCCAGCACTGGGAGGGTAGAGGCAGCAGGATTCCCATGGGTTTGAGGTCAGCCTGAACTATATAGTGATACCCTGTCTCAACAGACAAATAAACAAGCAACATCAAAAAATAAACACCTACAAAATGGAAAAAAGTACATATCATGACAAGGGGAGAAGATCTTATTATGGAGTCAGGTAATATAACCACAGGTAAGAAAAAGGTTTGTCCTAGTGACTGCTTAGAAGCAAGACTATTTCTAGTAAGTGGAGGTATTAACTATTCTCGGACTTTGTCTGTCTCTTGTGTCGGGCTCGACAGTCATTAATGATACTTTTGTCAGGACCAAGCACTGAAATTCTTTTACTTATGCTTCAGCTGATTTCTGTATGGATGCAACCATCCAGTTTGCAGGACACCCAAGTCCCTCAAGATACAGGGAAAGATCACAACATGAGGAAGTTGAAAGGGGATCTTGAAATGGTTTTCCAAATTAGAATTTCAAATCTAAGCTATTTCTCTATCTCCATCATTCCCATTTCTGTAACCAAGAAGGCTTCAGTAGAACCTGATTTCCAGTATTTATCTCAGCCCATTGGCAATCCATCAAATAGCTGAATCTAACTTCACTTTGGCTTTTGTTCTGTCCCTGCTACGAATTAAAGCACTTCTGTGTATTGGATAAAGGCAAGCTAGTGGTCCTGCCAACTTGGCCACATTGTAAATTAATGTATATTCCCATTTTTCCCCATAATTTTATTGAGAAACAAATAGCAATGAGACAGTTTCAAACAAAATTGGTAGGATAGTTTCAATAATTAACACATTGCATATATTCTTCCTAGTGGTTAATTGCTGTACAAGATGCAGACATGATATCCTATTTACAAACACTATAAGAACAAATCCCTCTATTCATTAAGAGAATGTAACTATATCTCTATCCTAACCATTTTGAATGCACAGATACAAAATGGACATTTGTCTGTATCTTCTTTTCTTTTTCAGTTCCGTTATTTGAATATTATTGATGTGTTAACTCAGCAAAATATTCTAAAAGAGTCCAGTAGTCCATAATAGCATTGGATCTTCTGCCTGACTGGCAATGTCAGAAATTGTTGACCTGAGTCCCCTACAGCTCAACATAACAGTATGACTTTACTTCTTATACTTCATTTTTATACTTTTCTGCTGGATGGTTAAGACCATGATAAAGCAAGACCTATGCAACCAGAGTTGTAGCTTTTGGGTCTAATAAGGTCAGTGAAATCCCCTCAGGATTTATCCTAGATCCCGTACCTCAGATTGTAGAACCTTTGTCAGTGTCAGCCATGTGGATGAGTTACGGCCATTGCTTGGCCAATGTGCTCTCTGTGAAAGCCTGAGAGAATGTTTTCTCTCCATATGACTCTCCTTAGGCACACTCTACATTATAGATCACTTTCCTCTTTGGCCTCATAATCTCCTTGATCAGAAAATTTGGGACACTACTGAGTTACGTGATGTTATAGTACAAGTTCTCATATGTCCTGAGTCTTAATTGACCTTGAAAGGCTAGGGCCAAAATGTTGTATATTCCCATTTTTATACCTCATTTTTATACTTTTCTCCTGGATGGTTATGACCAAGATAAAGCAAGACCTATATAATAAGAAGTGTAACTTTTGTATCTGATAAGGTCAGTCAAGTCCCCTCAGGATTTATTTGTGTTTCTATCATGATTGAAGAAATTAACCCAGTAGGTGGGGTCAGGCTCAAAGTTCTGGCTGAATCCCCAGTAATGTATATACATAACACAGAAATAAAATAATCTCAAATTCAAAGTGTCTTGTTTGTAGTTTAAGACATTTGAGCTGAGCCCCCACAGCCTTGTACAGGAGTGACAGGTGATAGTCAAACCAGTCAGAGTCCCAGAGGATTTCTGCAAAGAACCCGCAAAAGAACAGAAAATGGGATCAAGCAGAGAAATCAGTCAGGAGAGGTGTGAAGGTTGAAAAGATTTTGCTCACAAAGATCCTTGTAGAGTGGAAGTCATAACAGATGACTGGGGAGTCAAAAAATCATGTTTTAAAGACAGATACTTCATCAACTGGCTGATCTAAATAAAGCTTTTCCTAACCCATGTTTCTTGTAAGAGGGAAGAAGTCTTTTTCATATTCCTATGCAAGAGATACAGCAGATAAAACATTTTCACGATTCCTAGGAGAAAAAAAGCTGCCATGAATGAAGGATGCACTCACTGATGGGGCAACACTGCAAAGGAAAACAGTGATTGGGCAGGGACAGCAGATAGGCCAGGCAGGCAATTATTAGTCAATATGCACAAGGTCCTTTTCAGGGCTTCATCATCTCCTTGCCCATTTTGGGATCAGGGAGAATAGAAAGAAAAGGGAAAACCAGAAAGTTCAAGGTGGTGCAGCTGAATACCTGCAGTTTGAGAGCCAGAGTCTCCTGATGCTCTTTTTTCCACTGGGCACTCTCCTCCTCCATCTTCATGGTCAACTGTCTGATATGCTCCTGGTGACTTTTCTCTTTTTGCTCCAGCATCTCCTGAGTCTTCTTTTGCATTTCTTCCATCATTTTTGTGGCAGCATTTGCCAATTCAGCTTTCACACGTTCCACTGAAAGGAATGAGGGAAAGATCCGTGAGTTACTATGTGCCCTCGCCTCCTCCTTCTTCATATGCTTACTTATTGTTGTTACTGGTATCATTGGAAAAGAAGACACACTTTTTTCTCTTCATGTTGCAGTTTAAGAGTATCAGATTTACTTTATTTAAACTGTTAAGAGCTTCTGAAGTCAAATAGCCTCTTGACTCACTCCTCACCTTCTATCTCCTTTTCTTTCTCTGTGAGGGTCTGGTCTGTCTGTAGGATAGCATTAGTCATGTCCTCCTTGGACTGCATATAATTCTGAAGAACCTCTTCAGCCTTCCAAACCAAGGAACACAAGGTTAGCAGTAGCTAGTGATGGTAAGCATTCATTTCTGTCTTTTTCCCACCATCTTTTCTTCTAGCAATTGTTCCTCCTAGTCTTGAGGATCTTGGTGCCCAAGAGTCTCTGTTCACAAGAACGGGCCCATGCTCCTGGTTGGCCAATAAGACACTCAACCTGTGCTCCAAACCTCAGTGTCCTTTATTGGAAGCTTGTGGGGAGAGACTTGTGTTATTTTAGACTGAAGGTGTTAAATTTAACACTAGTGGTGCTGTGGTCTCTACAGGCTTAGCATTCTAAAGAACAAAATCTTCTTTGAGACAACAGATCAAAGAAGAAAGTTGAAGGAATAAGAAAGCTAAGTAAATGTGGGTCAGGAGGGTAATAGACAGTGAAAAGAAGCCAGCTCAAGTGTTGATTACCTATGCTTTCTCTGAGGAGCACCTAGGGCAGATCTAGCACAATAGACTTCTTGTGAGTGTCACTGACTGACAGCATGAATGCAGTGTAGAGTAGGTACATCACTGAGCCATCACAGTTGGTCGTGCTGACATGGACACTGGCACAACAGCACAGGTGAGTGGCTCACCTCTATCCCCTTCTTGGGTTCCTCATGGTACTTTTTCTTCAGGTCTTGCAACTTCTGAAGAAGGAGCCGGTAGCCCCCTGGTTTCGAGTAAATTCCTTGCTTCACTTCTTCTTCTAGGGGACTGAAAATTTTCTGCAGTAAAGCTGAGCAAAGATCTGAAGATGCTTTCTTATTCTGTTCACAGAAGTTATCACACTTCTTTTCTAGCTGGGTCTTTAATGCAAAAGTAACAAACAGAAATAACAGCCAAGCAGAGAAAATATTTTATAGTCAGAGTTTCTCAGAACATTTCTCAAAAAGATTATGACCCAATATTTTACTAATTTTGAAGTTTACTAAAGTTCAATTTCTGAGCAGAGATTGTTAGCATTATGCCAAACTTTAGAAGTAACTCCTGGGTCGGCCAAATACCTCAGTGGATTAAAGCACCTGCAAGCAGGTGCAGAAGCTGGGGTTTGATACTCAGGCCTGCCGTGCCGGCCCTGGCCCCAGGGCATGCTGAGGGCAATTGAGACTGGGCTTGGTGGTGCGTGCCTGTAATCCCAGCTCTTGGGAGGCTGTAAACAGGGGGATCACTACTAATCTGATCTATTAGTGAGATCCTGGACACCCTGTAAACCCTTCACTAAAATAAAAAATAAAAAAATAAAAAATAAAAAAATAGAAAAAGAAGTAAACTACTAATTTTTCAGATTAGACCAATGTTTGATCATGGAATAAATGTACTTCAAAATAAACCTTCAGTAGATAATTTTGAATAATATTTTATTTGTTTTTTCTTGAATATCAAACCAATGTGTTAACAGTGTGCACATAATTGGTTAGAAGTTCTGATTAGAAATTTTATGCATTTAGTTATAATAGGAAGATTATTAGCCATTTATAAAAATATATTGAAACTAAGCCCATAATAATGAATTTTTTTTCTTAGTATTATTGTTATCTATAGGTAGTCAATACCATTTTAAATTTTAGGATCAATTTCCTTTCTCAAAACAAATATTTGTTTCATCTCCTTATCATACTTTGCCTTCTCTATTCCAAATCAATCTACTCTTGAGATAAAAACACCTACCTCCAATTCCTTTTGAAACACTTGATCAAGATCACTGAAAGAATGTTTCATGAAGATCTCAATGGCCTCCCTCTCACAGGCTCCGTGCAGGTCCAGCAGCTCCTGCAGGGTGTCTGTGGGCAGCTGCACCTTCTGGCCCATCTGCTGGTCATAGTGTGCCAAGGCTTTCTGCACTGCAGCTGAGTTCTCTGTCTGGGCCAGGGCCAGGACTGCACTCTCCATGCAGAGCAGATCCCCACTGCTGATGGCAGCGATGTAGTTCAGCACCAGGCTCTCTAGACCTGCATACAGAGAACAGGTGAGGATGCTTGTTACAGTTAGAGCAGAAAACAGTCTTCTTTGTGTGTTCTGAGAATGTCAGTTTTAGGTATCCATTCAACTCCCACTATACCCTAGAAAGAAATGGTAGCAACAGATGAAAAAATAGAGCAGAGACAAAAGGGTGGGTGAAGTAGAGCTGTTCTCTCTCCTGAGTGAATGAAAGGAACAGCTGAAGAACAGTACAGCATTTACTTACACCCTAGAGACTACTAAATTTAGCCTTTCTACTGATCAATCAGTTAACAAAGTGCAACAGCATGCTTTGAGAAGCTCCTGGGTTCTTGGGCTAGCTTCGTCTTGCATGTGTGATTACTTTCCGGTTTTAGTGGTTCCCACCACCAGTTACCACTTATTTCTCTCAAAGTGTCATTGGTTTAATTACCAGTGTACTTGATAATTTACTAGAAATATAGCACCTCAACATGTGTGTAGACCTGAAGAGGAAGATCCCCAGGTGATGTGTTTGTACACTTAAATGAGGTTTCTTGATACATAATTCATAGGGCTGTTTATTAGAATTTCCCACCCATTTTAACTCTATGCACCATTGGGAATAAAAGTGTATCTCTGTAATTTACATCTGTATCATCCTTCCTGTTAACAGTGAACATTTCATCAGTATTTGTGGAACAAGAAACATTATCCCAATCAAAAGCTATTGCCATTTGATTTATTAAAATGTCCAGCTTTATTCAAGAGAATAAAATAGTCATTAGGCACCTGAGGATATGTGACCTTGAAATAGACATGAAGTTGTATACATTTTTGTCATTTAAATTAATTTGCCTTTAAATTTAAATAACCATATTATTTAGTAGCTACCATATTTCAGAGTGCTAGTCCATTTTACTTAAGGAATTTTAAAGCAATAGCCCTTTTTTCCCTTTAGGTTTTTCCTCCCTTTTTCCATCTAGAAAGGTGATTAACATAATCTATTAGAAAGGTGGAGGCCATCCAGCATGCCATGTCAGCCTCGTCCATGGGGTACACTGAGATGGTGATTGAGACTGGGTGTGGTGGCACAAGCCTGTAATCCCAGAGCTTGGGAGGCTGAAAACAAGAGAATCACCTTGAGTCTGAACTATGTAGTGAGACCCTGTAGACCCTGTACCATATATATTAAAAAAAAAAAAGGTGGAGGTCATCTAAACTTTAATGGAAAAGTAGTACATTTGCAAACCTGAAACCAGATTCATTTCTATTTTCTCTTGTTCCTTAGTCTTTTGAATGAGCAAAACTACCCAGAATGGTACTCACGAGGTCCGTTGACCTGGATGCCTCCCGGCAGAGTTTTAGTCCTGGAAGAACTGAAGATATAAGAGCAGAATTCTGCAACTTGTTCCACGAATTCCGGGTCCAGCTCATCATCATGTAGTGTCTCCAGCTGGGCCAGCTTCTTTCGCTGAGTGGGTCTATCGAAGACAAAGCATTTCTTCTTTGGGAAGAACTTGCGGATGCAGAGTCGGGGGAGATTATAATTTTTAACTTTCTCATCAGAACCTGTAAGAAGATAAAAAAGGATTTACCAACTGTAGGAATTTGTAAGCATTTCTTGTATAGGAACACATAGTGCATATTTTCAGCCTCTTTCCTCTGCACTCAAGTCATTGACTGTACCACTTAGACAATGTGTAAATGAGGGCTTAATGTTTTTCTAATAGCATCTATTTGCAAACAGGAGGTGTGGTCTCATTAACAAGCATTTGTCTGTGGGTCATGTTTTTCTAAAACTTGGGCTACTATATTGGGGTTACTACCCTGCTTTAATCTATGTTCTTCAAATATACATTCACTGTACTCCATATTGTTTGCATAGATGCAGAAGTACAAATGGTAAACACTAACATAAATTTAAACTAAACATAGCAAAGGTTAAAGACAGGAACTTGTGTCTGAACAAGAGAGAATTTTTATTTTGAATCAATTAATTTAGATACCAAGCATTAATTTCCTGGTGTAAGTAGGTAGAAGTAGTAGAAAATTCTAATTGTAAAAAGGTAAAGATAACAATATACAGTATAATAACCATTGTATTCCTGTCATTTTGTTTACTGAATTACTGAATTATTGTATGATTTATAATTTTGTTTTCATTATTTTTGTCTTCTCCTTAGAAATAAAAATGAAAATATGTAATCCAAAGAGTAAAAAAAAGTATAATTAAAAAATTACAAAATGATAATTTCTAGTATTTTGATGTACCCATTTACCAATTATCCATCCATATTACCTTGCTTTAGCTTCAGGGAATTCTCCAGGTAGGTATCTGGAGAGATGGACTTTCCATCTATTTCTAATTCCAGGGAGAAATCTCTCAGGGTCCACACAAAGTCTGGGAAGAAGCTCACAAAGTCAGCTGAGTCTTGAACTTCGCTTGTGTTGGATGAGGATCTTGCTCTGATTCGATCTGTCAGTTCAGTTACATAGCTGAGGTGCTAAGGAAAACTAGAAAAAGTAATAGGGCCTTTCATCCCATATTAGTTGGACAAATCCCCAGTGAGTTATTTTACCTTTGTCCTTAGCCCAAGTGTCATTTTTTTTAGTAGGTACATGAGTGTTTCCTGACTTGAATCGCTGCTTCCGTCTTCTCTTACTGGTTGGCTGCACCAGGCTCTAGAGCCATGGGGCTGGATTCCTCCCCCTGTCTCTCTTCCTGGACTATACAAAGGATACTGCAGTTGGTCCATGGCCTGCTGGTTGATGGTTCCCATGCTGTTATACACAAAGGTGCTGCTCAGCAGAATTGCCAAGGCAAAGATCCAGGAGTCGTTCTGATTGTCACCCTGGAAGGCAGAACTCATTTGGGTCCCAGGAATGTTTTATTCTTATGCCAATCTGCTGATCAGCAGTGGCAAAAGGACCATCACTTAATTAGAGTTATGGGCGTAATTACATAGAAACCTAAATTGAAATAAAAATATTTTCTGTCACACTTGAACTTTGAATTTTTATTAATATTTATTTTATACTACTATTAATACTTATTTTACACTATTTGTCTCCAGGTACTCTTCTGGTTATTGGCAGATAACTGATAAAACAGGGAAGGTTCTTACGTCTTTTTTTTAGGCTTACTAAATTTGTTTTAAAAATGATAAAACTTCTTAGAAGACAACTGAATTCTGCACAGAACTCTGAACAGATGTCAAGGACATGTGGGCTATTATCACTTTTCTCCCTGTCCCAGTCTCAAATATTTAGAGTGATCACACAAATCAAGGCATTCACAATACTTACATGGTGGGTCATATTTTTAAGTAATGAACAATGGACTAGCAAGTCAGTCCATTCTGTTCCTGTTTTAAAATCTCAAAATTATTTTTTGTACATCCTCTCTCTGTGTTTGTAAGGAATTGATATTTGACATCTTGTGAACAACAATGATTTCACTACCTCAAATGCAAAACACCTATGAAGCAGAGTAATATTTGCTTTTTAAAACAGAAGCAGATGAAAAAGATGGAAGATTCCTTTAGTTCTTCTCTCGTCTTAGAAAAACTTTGCAGAATACTGCATCAGAGTATAAGAAAGAAAACATGTCTTGCATTAGAATCCTTCAAAACCTGCAGACATCTGTGCATTGTTCTGCAGCTAATTCTGTGCATTTTGTACCTGACCCTGTGTTCCTGTAATAGTAATGATCTGATCTTTGGCTTCTTTTAAAAGCTTATCAATTTTGATGTTCCTGATTCATGATGAATTTGTATAACCTTCTAACCTCCTTTGCCAACAATAGATCCAGCTAAATCTCTGGGAATAGCTACTTGTGTAGTAATAATAGATCCACCAAGATCACCATATGAGGCACAAGTCCCTGCAGAAGCATAATTATATCCAGGATCACCCTGTGTTTCATATGCTATCTGCCATTCTAATGGGCTCCATGAATGTAATGCAGAGTCCTAACTTTCACCAGCACTGAAAAAACCCATGACATCATAGTGGTCTCCGAGTCTTCTTCTATCAAAGGCCATAAATTTCTGTCTCTAGGTGGTTCTGGTGGTGAAAAAGGAAGATTCTGGGTTGTACTTCCATCTTTGTCAGCTGGATTGTACTACCACTTTTGCCACCCTGATCATGAGGAGGTGGTGGTGGTCTTCAGTAAGGGCTCACATCATTGTAAAATTTTCTCAAGGGAGGCTTGGAATGCTCAGCCTGACCAGGGGACATTCTGTCAAAACCACCTTTTCCCTAAATGGGAACTCCTACAGACAGTCCACCACAGTCATCAAATTTCATGATAAAACCACCATAGTTGTAAATTTCATAGAAAAAATTGGGATTGTGAGGTTGCCCATGTCTTTTGATTGGAGACTCAGCTATAATGTGAAGAACGACCTTTATGCACTCCACAACCCCATCAGGCTTTCCTCCAATAAGAACAACTCTGTCAGTTAAATGAGGACAGCATTCTTAGAAAAGCTTAATTGTTGTCTGAGTGTTCTCTTGAAGTTCTTTAATTTTAGTACCTTTAACCCCAATAATTGTTCCTACCAGACTTCGATGAAATAGCAGTCTCCACTCACAGTCAAAGTGACTTCTTTAATGTGTTGGTAATTCATTCATTTTGCGGCATCAGATTTGAGTGGGAACTGGGTTGCTGTAGTGGTTGATAGCAACTGCAGGCCCCTTTCAAGGTAAAGATGATTTTTTTTCCGAATTTCTCTGTTTCATTATCAGAACTGATTATATGCACTTGAGCCACTGGGACGGAAACACTGAAATTGTGTCTGTACACAAAGTCTTTATATTACTGCTTCTCTTTCCGATCACTGCCCCCTAATTTGCACTGTGAAGGAGAATTTGTGACTCAACCATCTCATTGAGGTTTCTAGATCTTTTAAATGCTTGCTTCTCTTCCATATCTCATGCAGGAAATCTCCCAAGTTCAGCATTGATTAGAGAGGGTTTCCTATGTCTGGTAAGTTTCCCTTTTCTTATATTAACTTACCACAACAATCTGTTATTATATATCTTTTCAGAACAGAACTCTAGTATTCTGGATAGGACTAATAACTGATACACTAGGGCTGCAGTAGCAAGGTGATTCTACCTTACTTCACTGTCATACTGTGTAAATGCTCAGAGGTAGACAGAAAGCAAGCACATGTAGGTTTTTAGGTCTTAAAGAAATTTAAATTTAAAAGTTTGTCTCCTTTAATAGCTAAATTTATTTGCAAGTGATATAGAACTTTAGGTAGTGGTACATACTTGTAATCCTTCCTACATGCAAGGCTCAGACAGGAGAATTGTAAGTTTAATGCCAGTCTAGGAAATTTAGTGAGATCCTTCCTCAAAATAAAAAGAAAATAACTGAATAAATAAGGGACTAGAGACACAAGTCAGTGTTACAGTGTACAAATTTTCAATCCTTGGGACAGCTTGAATAAACAAATACAATGGATTTTCTTTTTCTTTTTCTTTTTTTGGGACAGCTTGAATAAACAAATACAATGGATTTTCTTCTTCTTTTTCTTTTTTTTTGTGGCCATCTCAGCCTGCCCTGCTGGTGGGGCTGGCATGGCATGTAGTGCTGGGGGTTGAACCATGGTTCCTGTGCTTATACAAATTTGCCTAAGCAGGCACTTTAGACCTTCTGAGCTGTCTTACTGGCCCCATAAACAAATACATACATAAATAAATGTGTGTTTATAATACTTGTAGCTCTTTCATACAAATTATTATATACTAGAAATGTTATTTATCTTATTAAATATTTAAAACAACACTAGGAGGTATATGTAAAGATTTTACATGTATTTGACACATCAGAAAGCTGAAGCTAAAGAAGATAAATTATTTTCTACATGAACCAATTGGAACTATAGTTCTAATTGAAACACAAGGTCATGAGTCTACAACACTTAAATCCTTAAAATTTGTAGTAGAATAAGACTCTTGACACTGAGTATATTTGTGCTTTTCTTTTTCATATAGGATAACTTACTTTAATTATAGACTTGTTTTTGATACTTAGAACATCATACTAATGTTGCTTTTCTGCTAGGATTCTGTCCTATAAATATTTTTCTAAATTCTAGTTGCTAGACTGAGTCTCTGCAATGTAAGCAAAAAAGAAAAAAATATGATATTTAAGAACAATCTCTTATATAAGTAAAAGTTGCTTGTCATAGTTAATATTCAAAGATGAGTTTATCCAAAATGGAGCCATCACCATTCATATACAGTAGGTGCATGAATTCAGCAAAGTAATCCAATACGGCACAGTAGTCCATAATAGTAGTGGGTTATTTGAAGGACTGGCAATTTCAGAAGTTGTTGATTTGAGTCTTTTACATTTCATTATAATATGGCTTTATTTTTTTATACCTTGTTTCTATAGTTTTCTGCTGGATGGTTAAGCCCTAGATAAAGCAAGACCCATATAACAAAAAATTTAACTTTTGTGTCTGACAAGGTCAGTGAAATCCCCTCAGGATTTAGCCTGAAACCCTGTACAGCAGTTTGTAGATCCTTTGTGAGTGTCAGCCATGTGGATGAGTCATGGCCATTGTTTGACCTATTTCCTCTCTGTGAAAGCCTGAAAGAAAGTTTTCCTTCCATGTGACTCTCCTTAGACACACATCATAGAACACTTTCTATCTCTGACAAAAGTAAACAAAAAAGGAGGATATAAATGAAGGACCATTTTGTAGTAAAAAAAATCTGTGTATCAAAATAGCATAGATATACAGTAACTTTCTCCTACTTCAATGAGAGGAAAGTTTTGAACTAATAGTGTTTAGGCAAGATATCATGTCTTCATCATACTATGGATAACTACTATGAAGACAACAATATGCAATGTATTAATTATTGTAACTGTTCTACTAACCTGTTTCGAAACTGTCTCATTGCTACTTCTTTCTCAATAAAATTAATATAAAAAAATGGAGCCATCCATCCTTACTTTCTCAACATCTCCCAGGCCCTCAGTGTCAAGCAGAACTAACATATGCTTCGAGTCCTTGGGGTGAGGCACGCACCACATCCAGATTCCTTTGGTGTGAGACTGCACCGTGGCACCCAGGGAGAATCCTGCAAAGAATAGAAGAGATGAGATGGGTTATAGCATTTGTTCCTGAAACAGAGATAAACATGTAATAAATATTAGGTTAGAGAACCAAAACCACAGCCAGCATTGACCTTACACAAGACAGTGAAGATTAGGTTAAATGGTGCAAGAAAAAAAAATTGAGCCATTTCATGATAAAGAACCTATTCATTATATCAGCATACTGGCACCAATGTTTGATACCAGCTGCAGAGAAGGCTGAAGCAGGAGAATTACCACTTTAAGGTCATTATAGTCAACCTAGTTAGAGTGTGTCTCAAAATAAAATTTAAATTAGATCCAGAAATGTAGCTAAGTAGTAGAGCTCTTTGCAAGCATGTTTGAGATTCTAGGTTCAATTTTCAGTGCCAAGCATCAACAACAAGCTTGATAATGTAGGATGCAGCTTAGTTCTGGCAGGGTCCTGTCCTCAAAACACTCACAAAACTTGGAATAGAAGTAAATGACCTTGGCCCATTTATGGTCACCTATGAAACTTTATAGGTAATGTCATAGTCAGTGAAAAAAATGGAATCTTTTTCTCTAGGATCAGAAGCAACTCAATGTTTATCTGAAAGTCTTATCCAATATAATTAGACAAGAGAAGGAAATAGAAGGTACTAACATTGGAAAGAAAAAGTAAAAGCATAGAAAACAAAAAAAACATAGAGAGAACTTAATAAATTTCTTCAAAATTGAAAAATTTCTTTATCAAAGTTCATCTTCACA